TCTACACAAATCCCAACAAGACTTGGCCGACTATCGCTCGTTTGTCGGTGACCGCTTAAACCTGGCGGGCCTCGCAGAAGCTCTTCAGGAGTCAACTGCGTCGCCATCGACAGAAGCTCAGCCAGCTCGTGATGATGACTCGCATTACTTCCAGAGTTATGACGAGAACGGTAAGTCCAGGCCTGTTCCTCATAGAACATATGAATCAATCTCTGTGTAGATATCCACGCCGTCATGATCAAGGATAAGGTCCGGACAGCAACCTACGCTTCCTTCATCCTTAGGACGCCAGATCTCTTCCGCGACGCGGTTGTCCTTGACATCGGCTGTGGGACTGGTATTCTGTCACTCCTCGCCGCACGCGCAGGTGCGAAGCGTGTTTTCGCTGTCGATGCAAGTGACATTGCCGAGAGGGCAGAGCAAATTGTGAAAGCTAACGGCTTGGGCCATGTCATTACGTTAGTGCACTTTATTACGATCCAATGTTTCGTGCTTAGTTACGCCGTACAGCGTCATCCGCGGCAAGGTCGAGAACATCCAGCTTCCAGATAATGTGCAGCAGGTCGACATCATTGTTTCTGAGTGGATGGGCTACGCCCTGCTGTACGAGTCCATGCTGGACTCGGTGCTACACGCTCGAGATCGCTTCCTCAGGCCTGGAGGTGTCATGGCGCCCAGCGAGTCGCGCATGATGCTCGGTCTGTGTGAAGCGGGAGATATCTTCAAAGATCGCATCGATTTCTGGAGTGATATCTACGGTGCGTTAAAAATATCCATTTTATGTCTTTGAGACTAATGTGATGGGCGCAGGTTTTGATCTGTCGGCAATGACGAATGATGTTTATGAGGACGCGATCGTTGACATTGTGGGCCCGGAGACGCTCGTCAGCGAGCCTGTGAGCGTGAAGGTTAGCCCTTGTCGTTTACATCTTGATCCACAACTCCTTGACACCCTCCCCAGGATCTCTTCCTCCGCGATGTGACCGCGCGGCAGCTTGAGTTTACGTCGCCGTTCAGGCTCGTCGCCACATGCGACCAGCGCCAGAAGGTCCACGCGCTCGTGCTCTACTTCGACACGTTCTTTACCGAGGACGGTGGCCCCGTGCCCGAGGGCACCGAAGTGCACATCGTGGGCGAGGGCGATTCGATCCTCGCAGAAGTCTGGCAGGTCGGCGGGCGCCGCCACGTCACGCGCCGCATGAGCACGGGCGAGGGTCTCAAGCCGCACGTTCCGAAGGTCAGGAGCTTCAGCACGGGTCCGCTATCTGTCCCGACACACTGGAAGCAGACGCTGTTCCTGCTCCGGGAACCAATTGTCGTTGAAGAAGGTGAGCATCGCTCCCGCTGTGCGTCGGGTGGGAGAGCTTAGCTTACGCTGTTTGCAAGGCACCATCGTCGAGGGTGTCTTCAAGTGCCACAAGAGCGAGGACAATATGCGGGAGCTCGACGTCGAGATCCACTATCGTGTCACGCCTACCGGCGAGAACGAGAAGCCAAGCGAAGTCATCGTTCAGACTTTCAAGGTTCGGTAGACGACCGTTGATTTCATACAAAGGAGGATGTACCTGTATTGTTATCATTGAATATCTATCAATATCCGATCTTCCTGTTCAGTGAGCCTTTCGAGTAGCCGAGGTCTAAGCACCCTTGTCATCCTCGGAATTGTCCCCGTGGGGAGCCTGCCGATGAGCATACTCCAGAGCGACCAGCTTTTATCGATAACGCACTGAACTGCTCTGCTATGTGCTATCTTATTCACCCTTTCGCACCTACGCTTGCTCGCCTCGGTCTCGCAACGACTTGCTAATGATCAGTAATTCTAGAGATAGAAAGCAGAGGCTTTGGATCCTAACAAAGTCAAACAAATGCTGGGCGCTGGGCCTATGTCGGAACTCGGAAGTACCCGAGTAGCCGGAATTAGAAACAGATTTAATTTAGTCACTGAAACGCTCGGTCGACTTGCATCGTACGAACGCACAGCTTAGTAGATATGTGCAAACAAATCGCGCCAAACTACCCCTAGGATATTACATACAGCACTTAATTCAACTACGGACTATGTTTGCTTTTTCTCCTTTGAAGCCAGCCAGAGCGGTGTAATTGCCTGGGCGACAACATTGCCTGCTTTCTCCAACTGTTCCCGGAGGTCGTCATCTAGGATAGTGTTCGAGAGACCGCGAGACCGCCACTTATCTGGGTGAAACCTCCGGTGAGCCTTTTCCACCATAGTCTTGTACTCCTTCTCGCCAACTATTCGTTTCGCTGCTGCGAAGAAGGCCTCAACGTTGCTCCATTCGATCAGATCAAGTGTGTGCGCGTTCGGCGGCATAAGCAAGGGCCAAGGAATGCTTTTGAACGTGAGTGGCTGCGATGCCGAGAATTTGATCTCCTCGAATTCGCTGCTGACCTCCTTGAACCAGTTGACGTGGCGCGTTTCGGTCCATGCTATTCCATACCGGTACCATTTCCTGTCGCGCTGTGAGCATCGCTCCTGTTCTTTCAACGTCGCATCGCGATAGTCTTGCAAGCGTCGGGCTTCGCGCTCTAGCCGCTCCTGCTCTTCGCGCGCCTTGCGCTTTCGCTCTTCTCGCACCTTACGCTCTTGCTCTTCTCGCACCTTACGCTCTTGCTCTTCTCTTGCTAACCGCTCCGCCTCCTGCCGCATGCGCTCTGCCTCTTCCTGCTCTCGCCGCTCTCTCTCTGCCTTCTCCCTTCGGTCCCGATCCTCAATTTCCTTGAGCTCTTTCATCCGCTGGATCATCTCCTCCAGCTCCTCCTGTCTGCGTGCCGCCTCATCCACAGGAGGAGCCGCATCGCGCACCTCCTTCTCCTTCCGATCAGCAGCCTCGCGTGTCGCCTGGACGCGCACCTCCGCCATCTCCGCGTTCACACGCCGCGCCGTCGCCTCGCGTAATGCCTTGTTCGCCTCGTTCTCCGCCGCGCTCGCGCGCGACACGCGATTGAGCACGTCCTGCTGGCGCGCCCGCGCCGCCCCGAGTGCCCTCTGCGCCTCGAGCACCGCGGCAGACACGGCAGAGAGCTCGGTCGTCGCGGACTCGCGCGCGTGCACCGCCTCGCCGTACACGGCTTTCGCCGCATCCTCCGCGCAGATGGACTCCAGCGTGCCCGTCCGCGCGGCCGCCTCGAGCGCTGCCGCCACCTCGCGCTGGCGCGTTGCCTCCTGGAGCTTGCGCTCGTAGTCTGCTCGGGCCTGCGTCTCGGCTTGACGGCGTTTCGTCTCCTTTTCGCGAGCCTGGCGTTTGGTTTCCTCTTCGCGGGCCTGGCGTTTCGTCTCCTCTTCGCAGGCCTGGCGTTTCGTCTCTTCTTCGCGGGCCTGGCGCTCCTGATCTTCTCCGCTTTGGCTGCTCTGGTCGTCCTTGGCCTGCGCCTTAGCTTCGGCTGCCCCTTGCGTCGGCTTCTACACTATGTCAATGAACGTCTCGGCTCGCTGTTGAGCATGAACCTTACCAAGGGTGGATCCTGATCAGGGACGGGAGGCTTTTTGACGTCTGAGTGCTGCACTAGCCGGAAGTCCGCTTGATTACCTGGCTCGAAATATCGGACATGAATGGTGGTGCCATTGAGAACCGTGTCGTTCAGTTCGGCCACGGCGGAAGCAGCTGTGGCGAACAAGGACCTGGCGTGAAAATCGCGATACGAGACTATATTGAGGTGACACGTACCCGCTTCCCGAGTGCTGAAAGAAACATAGCAATGACAATTGGAGCTCCCTTGCTTGGCTACTCGTGAGCTTTAACCTTTTACGTCAATATATGCGCCTGATGATACACTAGAAGTACTTGCTGGATGATGTCGCCAAACTGCAACAGAGCAACGCAATCAGAGTCTACAAATTTAGCATGCAGTCCACCCGCTCTACCTTCTCAAACGTCTTCGGCAAACTGGCAGGCGTGAACTTACTCCCCATGTTCTATTTCGCAATCTAATTCAGCGTGAAAATTTCTGGTCTAGGGTAGGATTGCTTACGCTGCCCGACACGCTATGTGGCGCGAATGTGCGCAACGAAAACGGCTCCATGCGCTGCAGCGTGAAGTGGAACTCGCGACAGTGCAGACGCGCATAGTTCGCGTCTTCCTCGTCCCAATACTCGAGCACGCACGTCCGGTGCTTGTACCCGACGTCGACGTTCGTGCGCACGGACACGAGCGGCCCCGCCGTACGGAACCACCGAAAAATCTGCTGCGCCGTCGCGAGGTGCAGGCCGTGTATGCCGCCGGCGGCCCCCGCCTTGATAAACTGTGCGCAGAGCGGGTCCCTAGGCAGCGCGCTGTCCAGGGACGCCGTGTGCGACAGTGTCAGGACCCACGGCGGCTGCACGTTGGGCACGGTCACACCCTGCATAGTTGCTAGAGCCATTTCCGCTGCGAACGGAGCGCTTCGGTTATTTCTCGCGGGGCGTTAGAGAGGCGCACCACACTTACCGTCCGACAGGCTGGCGAAGTGGATCGTCCACCTCCTCCGTCCTGTCTCCGTTGTGCCCCGCCTGCCTGAGCGAACATCTCCGCATAGGCTTAAGCAGCTCTTTAAGTGATCCCATTTGACCTGTTCTGGCACATCGACTGCGTAGAGCGTTGGCTCGGTTAGCAGGGGATGGGGTCTAGTTTGTCGCTCCGCTTCCTCAGTCGGCATAGTATTGTCCGGAAACTAGCGGGAGGAGATGGAAGAGCACTTGATGCCCTTGGATGGGCGGATCTGAAAGAGTTGCGGGACGGCCAAGGACGAAAAATGCGAGATAGAAATACAAGTGCCTGAACAGCATAGCACAGGAATAAAGCGCTGATATGTTGATGGCGGAACACACGCTTGCCTCGAGTCTTTAAACTATAATGTATGCATGCGCTCAACACGCGCTGTGCCCGGGGTATAGTACACAAAGGCTACCAGACACGCATCTGGTAAATCCCAGCACGAACAAACCAACAATCGCAAACACGCAATTCGTCCCGCTCGGGCGCGTTGTCACCGTGACGGCCCGCGCGCCTCAATTTCGGACACAGCGAGCTTACCGCGCTCACTTCTTCGCCAAGGACGGCGCCCAGGAGGTCCCGCGATCTCCACCGGTCTGGGTCGAATCTCCGATGTCATGCGCCAGCATCGCCTGGTGCTGCTCTTCGCCGAGAGCAACCGAATCTTCGTCGCGGAGACGAACGCCTCAATAGCACTCCATTCGATGCTACCGAAGGTCCGTTGCAGCGGTGGACAGCAGGGCCTGCGGGACGGCTCGAATGCGAGCGACTGAGGCACAAGACCTGATCTCATCGAGGTCAGTGCCGACCGTTTTTGAACCAGATCGCGTCGGCCTAGGAGCTGAACTAGCTCGAAGACATCCACCAGGTGCATGAATCTACCTACCATAGACCACACTGGTCGCACCGATCGCAGCAGCCTCCCGATACTCCTGCGAATGTCGGTTTTCAGCCTTTCGCCGCCTTTCAGGCTCAAATCTACATGATTCTACAACACTGCTGAGATAACAGCCTCCAGATCCGGCCACAGTCAATGGTGCTGGAGAGCGTGCTCCGGTGATTTTCCGCCCGCCTCAAGATGACGTCTGTGAAGGTTAATTGAGATCACTTCAGACTATTTATTTTACCGACATAGCAATAGGCGGGATTGGGCGCCGGAGCTTGGGCATCCGGGCGGCGCATCATTTCTATTTTCGGTACCCGACACTGCCTTCCCGGAATCATGTCAGTAGTTCCAACTTCCCACGACTGGATGTACAATTGGATGCGCGTGATGTCCAATCGTGCCCCGCCCCGCAATCGGGTTTTGGACGTGGTACGAGCTGGTGCGGGCACGCCACGAGAGCCTTACCAGTCACGAGACTGAGTGATTTCTTTTACCTGACACACATTCTCAGCCGAGGAGACATGAAATTAGTCCTCCTATTACAGTAGACAGATCTCATCCAGTCAGTCGGCGATAGTAGTCAATCGACCTTGACCATGTAAGGCCGCGACATCCAGCCGTTTGATACGATAATCATCCCGAGTGCACCTTCGTGCCGACGCGTGCAGGTTTCAAGAGTGTCTGAAACTCTCAGAGATCAAGCTAAACTTATGGAGCGCCTGGACGATTTTGCGCGAGCCGGCACAGTCCTTCGCAGCACCCTCAAGTGAACGATGAGCAAGCTTTCGCATGCGCAATCATTCAAGACGGTAAGCAGGTACTGTATGCCAATATCGAGGGTGTGGCCGCTGGCAATCAGAGGTTTGGCCTGTAGACGTACTCCAGATCACACTTTGGCGAACACGTATTTGAAGCAGATTCAACGCGGCATAGGCAAGTAGATCTTCCGTAGCCTGACTCAGGCCCTTTCCCCTCCGTCCCCTAGCGCACTGACCGCGTTTTGTACACTATATAAGCCTCAGGCCCTCGTCAGCATTCTGCATCACACACCTTCCCCGATAGTACTCAAAACATCCCTGACATCTTCTCCAGGATGCTCCAATCCCAAGCTCAGCAGACGGTGGAGGTGTCCGTCGGCCGAGTCTGCACGATCGCGGAGTACCTTCTCGAGCGACTCGTGCAGCTCAACGTTACAGTCCGTGTTCGCGTGCTTCCTGTACACCTTTCTCGCTTCAATGACGATTCCCTCAGAGCATCTTTGGGGTGCCCGGAGATTTCAACCTCGGTTTGTACCACTCCAAGTGTTCTTGCCCTGCGTTCTGACCCAGTCTTAGCCTTCTTGGACTATATCGAATCGCACTCCAAGCTCGGATGGGTAGGAAACTGGTACGTTGCCTGTCTTTGACCCTTAGGCTATCTACTTATCTATGCTAGTAATGAACTTAACGCGGCATATGCGGCCGATGGCTACGCCCGAGTGAAGGAAGGCAGCATTGGCGTGGTCGTCACCACCTTCGGCGTCGGTGAGCTCAGCGCGATCAACGGTATCGCCGGCGCCTTTGCCGCAACGCATTCCACTCCATATTGTCGGCGTCTCTAGTACTGTGCAGCAGAAAAACAAGCTCGTGCTTCATCACACCTTCGGTGACGGCCGCTACGATATGTATTTCAAGGCCGCCCAGCAGGTCGTTATCTCGCATGCCTCGCTCCAAGACAAGGCTACCGCAGCTGCCGAGATTGACCGCGTCATCACCGATTGCGTCCTCATGGCACGCCCAGTGTATCTCGTACTCCCGACCGATCTCGTTAGCGCGCAAATCCCGGCAGAGCGCCTCCAGACTCCGCTCAATACCGAGCCGCCACAGAACGATCCCGAGACCGAGAGCGTCGTGCTTGACGAGATTGTCAAGCTCATCGAGGAGGCAGAGCGTGGTGTCATCATCCTCGTCGATGCCTGTTCGATCAGGCGCAACGTAAAGGACGAAGTCTTCGAGTTCGCAAAGAAGACGCGTTTCCCCGTTTACTCTACTCCAATGGGCAAGACTGCGATTCCTGAGGACTACGAGCTCCATGGTGGCGTATGTCCTCGTCGACTTCTTGCGCTGCGTCATCTGAGATTTTCACAGATATATGCCGGAGTGACCAGTCGACCAGAAGTTAAGGCGAAGGTTGAGAGCGCGAAGCTCATCATTTCTGTTGGCGGTCTGAAGACTAACTTTAACACTGGCAACTTCACAAACAAAATCTCGCCCGCCCAGACCGTTGAGGTACGCCATCGCACATCAGCTTGAATGCATCGCGCTTACTTCAAGCGTCTAGCTTCATTCTGATCATACCCGCATCCGCCTTGCCACATACCACGGCATTGGCATGAAGCATCTGCTGCCCAAACTGACGGAACGCATGCAGCCCTTCAAAGAAGATGTCAAGGCAATCGACGTCCCCGAGTTCACGCTCCCTGTTTCGCAAGAGGACAACGACAAGATCTCGCACCTCTGGCTCTGGCCACGCCTCGGACAGTTTTTCAAGAAGGGCGACATCATCGTGGCTGAGGCTGGCACGGCCTATTTCGGCGCCCTTGAGATTCCCATGCCCGGCGGCTCAGTCTTTATGTCGCAGTTCCTCTGGTGCAGCATCGGATGGACCGTCGGCAGCACGCTGGGCGCCGCCATCGCTGCGCGCGACATGGGCCTTCCTCGAGTCATCCTGTTCGTCGGGGACGGTAGCATGTAAGTTCGCTCAATTCATCCATCAAAGCACACGTGATTACGATGCCTCTGACAGCCAAATGACGGCGCAGGAGCTCTCGACCATGATACGTTACGGCGTCAAGCCCATCATCTTCGTGCTCAAGAACAACGGGTACACCGCCGAGCGGTATCTACATGACGAGAACGCGCAGTACAACGATATTGCCACCTGGCAAGGCTTCTTCCTCCCGCGTGCTTCCCTCGAGACTGACCCAACGTGACCAGGAAATGGCCGAAGCTGCTCGAAGCCATGGGTGGCACTGAGGGCGAGACCTGTCAGTCTTACACTGTAAGGACCAAGAACGAGCTGTCGCAGCTGCTCGACAATGTCGAGTTTGCCAAGGCCGAGAAGATCCAGCTCGTTGAGCCGCTGATGGACACGCATGATGCTCCCCGTGTGCTCAAGGTCTTAGCCGCGCTCCTTAAAAAGGCGAAACTTGAAGAGTAGCACACCTCGGCGGGGGCCAAGACCGCAAGCCACCATTTTGTGATGAATCACACAACGGGTGTTGTTGTGGAGTCGGAAATTGGCAGGGGGTTGTTTGAGAATAGATTGTAGAGACGAGAACCGGATAGAAAAAAGTGTTGTATTATCCCTGTGTACGAATCCGCGGCGCCTTTTTAGAATGGCTGTCTCAGCAGTCGAGTCGCGATTTTCTCAACGAAGCTAACACTAGTCAATAGGTTCGACATCCCCATATATTTCGTCAATCATTAAGGAGTGGGCGACCAGCGTCGACATGGGCGGCATCGCCACCGCCGTGCGGAACCGCCGGAAGATCTGCCGTCGCGAGGTGCAAGATTTGACGAACTGCGCACAGAGCGTATCCTTGGACAGTGCACTATGCAGTGATACCGTGTACGACAGAGTCAGGGCCCATAGAGGACCCGTGGACACCTGCACGGTTGCCGGAGCTATTTGGCCTGTTCTGGTATGTCGACTGCATGGTGCTTGCCCGGTTGCCCTCCGGATGGGGTCCAGTCTGTCGAGCGGCTTTGTCAGCCTGCATAGTCATATCCAGAAACCAGCGGCAGGAGTTAGAAGAGCCATCGATGCCCTTAGTTTTAAAAGTGGCCTGGATAGCATAGCACATAAATTGAATAAAGCACCGACATGCTTCGAGTCTTTGAACTATGATGGTACATGCATACACTCAGCGCCGCGCACGCATCGCACTCGGAGAATAATATACAAACCTTGCAAAATATATATTCAGTAAATCCTAGCACGAACACGCAATTCATCTCGCTCGACGCGTATTCCTTTCTAGCCCGCGGCCCGCGCGGCGCAATTTCGGACACAGCGAACCTACCGCGCTAACCTCGATGCAATCCAGAGCAAGAGTTTCAGTTCGGCGGCCCAGACACGGGAACTTATTAAGTTACACCGGACTAGCCACCCAGAAGCGCCCAAGAGCGGCTAAGACACGCTGAAGAATTTCCGAAAAGCCCAAAAAATGGCACAAGCAGGAATCAAACCCGCAGCCCGAAAGTAACCGCAGCGTGCTATACCACTAAGACATAAGACCTTGCAAATATGAGCTTGGAATTGTCCTATAATACCACTTTTCTACCTCAAAGTCTTAGCTGTAATATTGTAGCCAATTATCAGGTATTAAAGCATTGGAATGTAATTGTACAAAGGTATATTCTAATGGCATGGCTAAGACATTGAGTCATTAAATATTTGCTATTGATTCTGCTTATTGTACAAATGTATATCCTGATGGC